TATATATATATATATATATATATATATATATATATATATACATAGAGAGAGAGAGAGAGAGAGAGAGAGAGAGAGTCACTTAGCAAGGAAGAGTATTTTGAAGGCTTTCAGCAGAAGGTCTTCTCTTTTATATATGAGAAAAGAGCCTTTTTTGGCACATCATGTCAATTTTTAATATAAAACAAGTAGGGGTGTAAATTTGACTTGCGGGTCCGGGCGACTCGTGGCTCAGCTTGAGAAAAGCCAGAGCCAAGGCTTGGATCGAGCCTCATTTTGGGGCGTCGGCTTGAGCCAGTCCGTGGCTCAGATAGAATTTAGAAAAAATAATTAATAAAAAGACCTGCCACCTTAGTAGGCATCACTGCCTACCTGTTAAGATAGATGTAGCTGCTTGGGCCATATTTCAAATTTCAAATTTAAAATTTGAAATTCAAATTTGTTCGAAATTAATATATATTTTTTGCTATAAATATGAGGTAAAATTGGTATAAATTACACAAATTTTAATTTTTGTTAAAAAATAATAAATTTGTCACAAATTAAAAAAAAGGAGTCAGCTCACTAAGACTTGAGCCGAAAACTCAGGTCAAACCTTGATTTTTTGGCTGAGCAAAAGCTCGGCTCGAATCTGGCCAAAAAATCTTGAACCATTTTTTACTTGAGTTAAGCCCGAGCATCGACTCACGAGCCTACTCGACTCGACTCATTGACATCCCTAAAAATAAGGCTTGAATTCCTATATTTAAATTTTAAAAAATGAACGTGTATGAATCTATTTAATTGCTCTGAGAAATTTTGAATGAGATATATTACGACATCTTCAAATAAAAGTGAGAGAGAATGTCACTTTTTCACATTTTCATTTTTCACAAATACCTTACATCATTTGAATTGATTCGAAGTTGATTTTTCATATATATTGACTCAATCTATTTCCCCTTAAAGGCCTAAGAAGAAAGTCATTTGTCCAGCATAAAAATGAAACTAAACCAAATTAAGCAAAAAGCAAAATAAGCGAGACTTCAACAAAAACATTATATTCAATAGCAACACACTCTTTGCGGGCAGATATGGCTTCATGGTCAGTTATTTCATTGTGGGTTTTAGGTTCCGAACCTGCCTCCATTCAAAGAGTCATGACTTTTGTTTTGATTCTTCTTGACGTTGGCGAGCAAGTTTGAAGGAATTCAACAAAACCCTAATGGATGTTTATAGAAAAGTATTAAGATGGTTATTAACATGTTTCAGTGGATGGGAATGTATCACTTCTGCAACTAGGTATTGTGATTAATTAGATATAATGGCGATCGATTCTTGAATTTGAATTTATGGAAAAGAATTGGATAAGAAGAACAAGTTTTCCTGAGCTTTGGGAGTCTTTAATGGTCTGTTTTAATCGTGCGTTTTGTAATAAGCTTATTATAATTTAAATATATTTTACAATGATTTTTGAAAAAAGGAAAAATTCACAACTCAAGTATTAACTATGACTAATTCAAATTTCAGGTTTAAAGTTTCAAAATTCAAAAATCATGTGAAAAATAAATAATTAAAAATATTTTATTAATTAAATATATTAATGTCACAATTATATGAGTAATTGTTACAAGCACGTATTTATGGGTCACAACTTATTTTTTGGTCTCATATTATCAAATTAATTGGTCATATATTATCAAACTAATTGATTACAAATTATTTTTCAATCACAAATTAAAAATTTTATAGGTCACTTACAGTAATAGATCAATAATTTCATAAGTCAGAATTTGTTATTCGATTACAAATAAAAAAATTAATAGTTTTATTTATCGGTTACAAATCATAAATTTTATAAGTTACAATTTATTTCATGGTCACGAATAATCAAATTAATTGATCACAAATTATTGAATTAATTGGTCATAAGTTATTTTTCAATCACAAATCATCGAATTATTTGGTCACCACTTACCAAATTATAATCATTATTCCAAATTTAGTCCGAATCACACATTTTTTTAGATCATAAATTATCCAATGGTTACAACTCCCAAATAATGATCACACTCTCCCATCCCATAACACCACCACCACTACCACCATCACTATCGTCATCGTTATCGCCACAGTCGCCACCATCACCACCACACTAACATCAACTGACCATCACTGCCATTAGCACCACTACCACCACACACTTTGTTGGTTAAAATTTTAAAAGTTTGTATGAAACAGATTTTTTCCAACACACATCACCGTTGCCACCCCCACAATTCCAAAACCAACACCACACACCACCGCAACAGCAACAGAAAAAAAACACCATCACAACAATCATCAGCCACACAAACCATCATAACCATTGGAGAAATCAAACTAAAAAATGAGAGAGAGAGAGAGAGAAGGAAATAATAGATCTGAGCCCCTATAGATTAACCATTGTCAAATTAGAAGCAACGACGATCAGCCACCATCGTTCGCCGAGCACCAGATTGCAATATAGCGATGGTAGTAATGATATCGTTGCAGAGGTGGAGGTGTCTTTTTCCTAGATCGTCGTTCCAAAGATTATACAGAATCGACATTTTGTTTGCGTGCAGCGATGATATCGTTGCAGAGGTGGAGGTGGGACGTGAGAGCCTCTTCTACACTAATGTCGTCATTATGTTCGAGACTCTGCCAAACATTTCAACGCGTCAATAGTTGAATCGAGCAGCGTTGAGTGCCTTGTACGAAGGCATGTCGCTGCAACTCTGTGAATAGTAGCCTAAGTGGGTGCGCTGTCAAGAGTAATCGGAGTGGTTGCGTTGTGAAAAGTCACCGGGCGTGAACTTTGAACTGAAAATGATTTATTGGGTAGTGTTGAATGAGTTTGGTGGGCGGGTATATGTAAATTTATTTACTTTTATAATATTGTTATTACATATTAATTACCTGATTTTTGCTTAATTAAACTTCTCACCTGATTTAAAAATAGTGATATTTAAAATTCTCGTGGGATGTAATTTTCACTTTTAAAAAAGTATAGATTTTAAGTGTATTTGTCTAAGTGGAAATTACAGCCAACCCTAGGTTTCAAATTCCCAATTCAAAGTCAAGATTTAAAGTTTTTAAATTCAAAAATCAGATTATCATAACATTTTTTAAATATTAATAATAAAGTTATAAAATTAAAATTCATTTCCATTCCCTAAAATCACCCAACCCTAAAATATATTCCCTCTCACCGTCCTCTCTCCCCCTCTCATCCCATTCCCATCGTTTCTCCGACGGGCGACTATGACAACTTGATTCGTCATCTCATGGTTCTGCTGCTGCTCATGGTGGTGTGGTGAATTTGTGGTTGTGTCAGGTGGAATTGTGGTTGTGGTGGATTTGTGAAAGTTTGGGATTATTCTGCTATGACTGGATTTGTACACATCGCATAGTGCTGATCTATAGTTGCTACAACTCCGATCACGGCTGGATCCAAATCTACGTGTATAGAGAGGTTTGACGTGGTGGTGGTGGAGGCGCCGCATTGGTGCTGAAGGTGGTGGTGCATCCATCTGGTTTGTTGGCGATTTTGTGGGGGTGTTGGGATTTTCTATTTGGTTTGTTGGTGGTAAGGTGGTGCTCGTTGCGATGTTTTGGGATGATGGGACTGTCGAGAAATGGTGGTGGTGGTTTTTGAGGTGATAGTTGCAACGTCGATGCTGCTGGTGGCAGTAGTGGTCACCAGTGTTGGTGGTGGTGACAAATGATTTAATCTGTGGCCAATAAACAACATGTGACCAATGAAAAAAAGGAATTGTGACCAAGAAATAACACGTGACCTATTAAATTGTTAATTTGTGACTATTTAATAAATTGTGACTTATAATATATGTGATCTGTGATTAATAAATAAAAATTGTGACGTATTAATTTTTTATCCATGATCGATGAACAAATTGTGACTTATAAAATTTTTGAATTATGACCATAAAATAATTTGTGACTTATAAAAACTTTGATTTTTGACAAAAAATAATATGCGGCTAACCAAATTTGTATATTTGTGACTAACTTGTAAAGAATTGTGACCTTAATATATTTAACTAATAAAATATATAATTAATTAATTAAATCATAAATATATTTTAATAAATATCTGATTTTGAAATTTGAAACCTTTTTTCTTACTTTTTGAAATAGGTAATACATAACCTCTTACTTATCAAAATTTTCCATTGTCTAATTACCCTTTTATTAAACAAACTTTAGGCTCACTATTTTAGATGCCTATCGAAATAGGCCAGTCCATTTGTTGGACCACACGTACCAGCCCAAAATCGACTAAGACAAGGAGGTGGAGGAAGTTGAGCCTAACCCATCCATGCTACTTTCCTCAAGTGTAAAACTGTTTATATGCGCTCTCAAAAAATTTGTCAAAATTTACCCCCACAAACTAACAAACGTATTAAAAGATGTCCCAAAACTATACAACTCAAAATTAACTACAAGCGAAAGAAAAAATATAATGTAAAACCCCTAGATCGCACCTACCCTACTATGTATATTTTCATCTTAATTTGCCCCATTGCGGCCAGTGTCGACAGACGAGGCAGCCATCATCGAAGTATTTGACGCTGGAAATATAGCGCGTTTTGAGTGCGAAGAGTTTACTTGAGCTTGAGGGTTTAGTTGTCTACTATGATGCCATTATTCTCTGCAATTCCAGTAAGATAAGGGATTTCTTGAGGGGTTATAGAATTTAGTGCTCTATTAAATCATATAGATAACATTTTACACTTGGGAACACTATATATATGTTGTTTGGTTACGAGTTGAGATTTTCTTTAGTTGGAAATTTATATTAGAAAAATTTTAATTTTTTTCCCCCATCTATTGGATGGTTTCTTTGATATTTAGGAAAAAAAAAAGGGAGGTCTCTCTAACTCTCTCTTAAACTTCAACGTGGTGATCATTATCCAACTATTCTGCCCACCACATATTTCGACTTGGATTTTTTTTTTTTTTCAAGAATCTATCACACAATATTAGAAGGGAAAAATTCATATTTAAGGTGTATTCTTTACACCATTTCTAAAGTCAGGTAAGAAGTTTGAAAATTCAAAATTCAAGTTCGTATTTAATTAATTAAAATTATTTATTAAATAAATATATTAATGTCACATTTAAACAATTAATGGTCACAGATTTATTTACTGGTCACATATAATCAAATTAATTGGCCACAGATTTATTCACTGGTCACATATAAAAAAATTTTATAGGTTATAAATTATTTCAAGGTCACAGATCAAAAATTTTAGAGGCCACAGATTTTCTTAAGTCACGGATTATCAAATTTCAAGGTTACAGACCAAATCGTTGAGGTCACAGATTAATTTTTTAGTCACAGATTGTCAAATTTTAAGATCACATGCCAAATCGTTGGTCACATATGCCAAATCGTTGGTCAGATATACCAAATACTCCACTGCCAAACCCAATCCACCACCAACACTTGGTCACAGAGCAACCAAATGGTCACCACCACCACCACAACCAACGTCGCCACCACTAGATCCAACACATTGCCAACAAAAATCACCGCAACTAACAACCACCGTTTCCACCCAAATCACTACTACCAACAACCACCGCCAACAACACCACCATCGTACACAGCCACCGTTAGGGGCACCACCATCGCAGAACGCATATCGCAAAAAATTTCAACGACTCACTGCCTAACCACACTAGCTGCAACCAACACCGCCTGCAAGGTCACCACCACGCTGTCACTTGCATAATCACACCATCTGCAACCACCAATCATAGTCAACAAACCACACACCACCACTCGAACCACTGCCTATCCAACAACCCCCACCACAACAGCCAGATCCATCCCTACGCTAGTAGTGCCACAAACAAAAATCATACCACAAACAAAAATAAGTAGTCACTGGAGTGAGTAAGTGAGATCTAAATTTGTCGAGGATGAGATTGAAGAACACGATTGGAGATCGAAGAGAGATGCGACGGAGCCATCGAGTGAGGTTGCTTCAGAGGAGTAGGGAGAGGGAAAAAAAAAACATAATCGCCATCTGTAAGGTTGACTCAATGCGTTGCCGCCATCGCCGTTATGAACCCTGCCACCGTCGCTGTATTTTGTGATGAGAGAAGTGAGAGAATATGGAGAGATGGAGAAGACGGTAGAGAGAGAAAGATGAGGAAAAATATTAGGGATTGGAAAATTGAATTGGGTGAAATTAATATTTAAATTATTAAATAAATACCTGACTTTTGCATAATGAAACTTCAGTCATGATTTTTGAATTGTGAAGTTTAAACTCCCTGCTATTGTGTAATTTCCTCATATTAGAATATGCCTCAAAGGTCCAAAGATCCAAATCTTTTTGTCCAACTGTTTATTAAAATTTGCACAATTCCTCACCTAAACTCTTGGTTATATCTGTTCGATGAATTATTAAATAGTCCCAATCCCATCTGCCTATCTATTTTAAAAAATGATGGGCAGCTGCTAATTTAATCCAAAAACCAAGTCACTCTATAAGATGATAAACTACACAATGAACATGTGTGACCACCAATTATAAACGTGTCGCTCGAAAATTCTTGATCCTCCTATCCATCAGTTAGCAAATATTAAAGTTTTTATCCATATCATCCGTGGGCCATCAACATTAGTCCAATTAAACAGTCCATTAATATATGGACGTGCATTCTCTAGAAAGGTCTATACATTTTTGTCTTAAATTGTACTCGGTTCATCCGACTCTTATTTCACAGATCGTTGACGAAATTGATATAGCATTGAATTTATAGAGAGAGTTACAGATCAAGAGAAAATCCCAAGAAGCCATGGAAGTTTCAAGATTCAACCTTTGCTTCCATCTCTTCATCCTCTTATCCGTCTTCTCCATCTGTAAATCAGTGAGTCACTCTTTCGAATCAAGAACTTTACGCGACCCAATATTAGCTACTACATTTAATTTGACTTAAACGATCTTTTTAAATCCTTTATAGCTCTGTTTTAAAGTTTCCAAATCTTTCATGCAGGACGATCCAGATTGTGTGTACACGGTGTATATAAGAACCGGTTCAATCATAAAGGGTGGCACTGATTCTATTATCAGCTTGACTCTGTACGATGCGGATGGCTATGGAATTAGAATCAACAATCTCGAATCATGGGGTGGACTTATGGGCCCAGGCTACAACTATTTCGAGAGGGGAAACTTGGATATCTTTAGTGGGAGAGGTCCATGTTTGACTGGACCAGTTTGTAAGATGAACCTCACCTCCGATGGGTCTGGTCCGCACCACGGTTGGTGCGTTAACTATGTGGAGGTGACAACCACTGGTGTTCACAAGCAGTGTACACAAGAAAAGTTTACTGTAGAACAGTGGTTAGCCACCGATGCGTCGCCTTACGAACTCACTGCCGTCAGGAATCATTGCTCGTCCGATGACGAGAAACGCTGGATCGGCGGTTTTGATTCTTCTATAGTGTCTGTAATTTAAGTTTGTGTGGACGTTGCCGGCCCATATTATTGCAGGTTTGTTTTATAAATATCCTATGCCACAAGAGTGTGAATGAGGTTTATGATAGTTTTGTTTTTATTAGTGCTATGGATTGAACTATTCAATAAATGGTGTATTACTTGGAAAGCAGAAGGATGTGCAAAAATTAATGTGAGAGAACAAGGCCCAAAAATGTTCTTTTTTGGGCATCATGTTTTGGTAAAGGGTAAATTTACACCATAATTTTTATTAGTTACATCATATTTTTATTGCATTCAAGATCATCATTTTTCTCATTATAGCCTCGTGTCCTTAATTTTTCGATAAATTCTTAATCTTTCATTAATTAGTTTCTGACAGTGATTTTGTATGTAAAGTCTGTTGGACTTGAAGGGCATAAAATAATTTAATGTTCATCAAATTTTTTTTTTTTTTTTAAAAGAGAATAATTTTTCTCATTTCTAAGCATTCAATTAGAAAATTTTGATAGAAACCATTATCAAGAGTGAAATGTGTTAATTAATAGGAGGCTGAAGATAATAATTAGATGAAAAGGTTGAAGATATACGTTTAAAATGAGCAAAGGTGGAGGACTTTAAAATGTGGTGAAACAAATAAAATTTATGGTGTGAATATAATTATCCTTTGGTATCGTCATATCTTCTACCATTTTGCTTGAATCTTAAGAGCCATTTGTCTTCTGTGATTACTTCATTATAACTTTATATGTTATTGTGGATGTAAAGCACGTTTGGTTTATAGTATTAAATATTGATGTACATTGTGACCTATGGATGATTCAACCCATCATACAATTGCCAAACACTCGTCTAAGAGAACTTATGTCTAGAGTTGTTTATATTAAGATCCAACCCAATCATCCGACTCATTGTTTCTTGTTTAACATCTCAGAATTATGTTTTCACCCCTTTTTTCTCAAATATTTCCAACTTGTAAGGTAGCCAGTTCTTCCCCTACAGCTAGGGCCCACGCGGCCCTGGCAATGTAGCAGCTCTCATAATATTATAACGTTATTACATCCCTAAGAACAAAATGAATTTGAAACTGCTATCCATCTAAAAACCTAGCTACTTAATGTATACAAAATCTAGCGCCAAAATCTCTTTTGTGTGCTCCTTCACGAGGATATTGATTGAGAATTGGAAGCTTCTACAGTCCCAAATAGAGTCATCTTTCGAAACTTTTACTGATCTTGTACACGATGGATACCGAAATAGTTTAGATACGACCTCCTGTCTTCTTGGGTGGAATACGGTGTTTTTTTGCTATTCCGATGATCCTACAAAAAAGTGGCTAGGGCTTCCTCCCTTGTTTTACCTCCGGCGTGTGAATTAGTGATTTTTTGTGGATGAATGATTTAAATAACAGTGAGAGAATGACAGGAGAATTTTTTTTTTTTTTTTTTTAAAAGAAAAGAGAGTCCACATACATGGTACGCCTATGAGGTATTTATAGATGCTTGGCATCGTGTAACTATAAGGCAATTATCATGCACATGTCTAACGCAGCACACCCACACACAGGACGATTTTCACATACTTGCTAAGCGGTTATCCTCCATCTACCGATTAGATAATGAACTTAACAATAACCGTCAAACAATTTTCAATTAGTTCTAAGCATGTCTAGGCGGTTTGGGTAATAGTGGTCAATCTAGCGTTTCAATTAGTTCTAAGGATGTCCAGGTGGTTTGGGTAATAGTCATCAATCTAGCGTAGCATTAGTCAGGCTGTTGTAGTTGTAGTTAGACTAGCATAGCAATAGTGGAACTATCTTAGCAATAGTCAAACAAGCATAGCGCCAATCAAGCTAGCATAGCAGTAGTCGCCCTATTATAACGTAAGTTACTTGACCTAGCGAGAGTTGTCTTCACTTGAGTGGCCATCACAGTTCATTATTTGAACCACATAGCATTAGATACTAAGTACCTTATAAAGATCACATCCATGTTGTTGTGATGTAGGACATATTAGGGAAAAAGTACTAGTAGAAAGAGAACGTTCTAATTTTGGATTGGGTCCATAAGACCATTTTGAAAAGAGAACGACGAGAGGAACAATATTCACTACTACGTTATGATGTAAGATGAATTTTGGCCATTCGAGTTCATTTAGGACTCGAAAATTGATTTTTAAAGTTTTGGCGCTATTTTTGTCAATTCGTTTATTTTGGGTTTTTTGCAATTTTAATTTGTTTAAACTTTGTTTTCATTACTCTTAATTCTTTTAAACTTCCATGTAAACCCTTATAAATAAGGGGTTAATTCATTTTTTTTTATTATCATTCATCAATAAAATTTAGAAAAGTTTATTTTCTTCTTAATTGGTGGATTCCAAATTTAACATTCTTAAGGTTTTTGCTTGAATTCTCTTTTGAATTCCCTTTTCTCACTGCGTCATGTTGGAAATAAACGGTTATTTAAGTCAATTATCATCAAGATGGCTCTATTTGCAGTTATAAAGCTAGAATCGACCCTTGGTGTGGATTATTTTGAGACATTCAGTCCTATATTTAAGCTCTCTATAGTTAGGGTTATTACTAATCTTGCTGTAACTTTTGTTTTCGACCTTCAACAGATTAACTATCAACAATGCCTTCTTGTATGGTGATCTTCAGGAGGCTATATATATGGTATAGGTAGAGGGCTTTGTTAGTGCTTAGTTCCCCCTCTAGAATCAACTAAACTCTTTATGGCCTAAATTCAGCTCTACAAGCCTGGTTTGATAAGCTAAAACTGAGCATTCTATCCAAATTAAACTCTACTTTGTTCTTTTTTTCATTTGCTGCATAGTTTTTGTTTGCGCTGGTCTATGTAGATGATATATTGATTACTCGGCATGATCATTCTCAAATTCTGAAATTAATGCATGATCTTAATTCTCAGCTTGCATTGGGTTCCTTGAAATAATTTTTTGGTGGTCACAATGGTTTATACGCGACTCAACACAAGTGTATACTTGATCTTTTAGCGAAAAGTAACATGAGTGGGGCAAAAGGATGAAATACTCCTCTTAGTGCAAATTAGAAGCTGTTCTTGGGTGAAGGTAATCCTTTTGATCCCCTACTCTATATAGATCCACTATTGGAGCTCTACAATATCTTACCATGAGTTGGCCAGATATTGTCCTTTCGGTGATTAAGTCAAGTCAGTTTTTGCATCCTCCACCTATGCTATGCTGGTAGCCTTATAAACAAGGATAAAGCCAGACATTCGGTATTGTAGGGTCAAATTTTGAAATATAATTTTTTTTTTTTAAAACAACATATCATTAATTACTACTGGGCTTGTTTGCAAATCTGCAAATGGGCTTGGCAAATGGCAGTCCATAGACGGATAGACAGGCAGGCATTGGATCAATGTTATGTTTAATTGGACTTGGGACGTTTGGATAACTTAAAAAAAATAATAATAAATAAATAAAATCTGAAAATTCTGTGAGGTCAATTGACCTCACATGACTCCATGTGGGTCCGTCCTTGCTTATAAATGCATTCTTAGGTATATTTGAAACATTCAACTACACTTTGTCTTCATTTTAGGCTTGCGGCTACCTTGACTTTGGAAGGTTTTTTGATGCGTCCACTAATGGATACCGTTTGTTCCTTGGGAGAATTTGATACAATGGTGCTCTAGAAAGCAAAAAATGGTTGCAAAATCTAGTATTGAGTCTGAATATTGGACATTAGCACAAGTTATTCCTGCTTATAAATTTGATTTATATTTGCAAATGGAGCAAATTTCTATTTGAGTTCGTGTAAATGTTGTAACTTTAGGTAAAACTCAAACTTGGAGAAACCTAAAGCAAAAAGGAAAGATTTTGAGTCTAAATTAGAGTTGGTTCGAAGTAATTGAAGATTAACCGAATTGCTAGGGTTGATAAGAAGTATTAAGAGAGTAATTAGAGGAAAGTCATGATTTTTGGGAGTAAAATTCAACTTATGAAAAGTTTGGGTACTAATTTGTACACTTTCAAATCTTGAGAAAGATCAATTTTGTATGGTTATAGAGAGGTTTGGAGACGTTTTTTGAAAGTTGCACGATCAATATTAAAGATTTGGACAAAACAGGCCAAAGTCGTACAAAAAACTTCAACTAGGGACGAAAATGTAAATATATGAAAGTTATAATCCGTGGTCTAAAAATATGTTTGGTGGGTTTGACAGTGAATTGTTGTTCTACTACAGCCTGTTTGTATATTTTTCGAGTTCTGTTTTATTTCTAATGATATCTTGGTCAGACGGTTCAATTATTATGTATGTTATCTTATTTATAGAGTATCCACTGTGTCAAACTCAAATTTTATCTCTTTTCATAAGGAGGGTTACAAACGAGACATATAAGATAAAAGAAGAGAAGAAACAAGGGAGAAGGTAAAGATAATGCTAACATTCAAAGAATTTGGTGAAGAAGGTAGATTCTTCTTGCATGAAAATCATATTTTTCTCTTTTTTCCTTTGAAGTGATAATGTACTTCACAACTCTCTTATTTTTTTCTTCCATTATTATGTGATATTTGAACGGGCACAACTCCATGAATTGAACTTGAGTGATGAGATTAAAGGCGATAAGAGTAAAATTGTGAATCGCTAGCTTTAACCATCATACTTGATCATTAATTATTTTTATTTTTCTTGGTAAATATTAATGTTAATCAAACTATGTTATCAACTTTTCTATTTTTCAAATTGGAGTTAGTAAAAAATTAAATTGATAATTACATACATAATCTTCGTGCGAACAATATTCGAACGCTCATATCCATTTAACTACTCATCTAATTGATTTCGTACACTAACGATTATTATGCACCAGTATAGACAGCACTGGGTTTCAAAGCTTGTTCCATGAATCCGGCATATCTATTACAGCTTTCCCGTTATTTGCTATGATAACGTGAGTGTAGGTTCTCTTGCAGTGATTCTAGTGTTTCATTAGCGAACCAAACGTATAGAGATTGGCATAAACTGTGTAAGAAAAGGCAATTAACAAGCATTTGGAGGCGCATTATGTTGCCACATGTGATCAGGTGGCTGCCATTCTAAGGCCTTAGCAGCAACACAATTTGAGACTGCATTACATGTAAGGAATTTGAATCGATCATGTGGGCTTATATGTGTGAATTATTGTGTATTAAATTAAAGGCTATCAAATTTGTTTAAGCCCAGTTAAAATAATCTAATAAAATTTCGTTATTTTAATGCATCTAATTAAAGTGAGGGTTCTTATGTGTAGAGACTGGGCCATTGTTCCTAATTCT